GACGTTTAATAGCCAATTGTAGACGAAGGCGAAGGTGGGCGATCGCTTTGTCCGATATAGTGTTGACCATAGTTATTGAAGCTGACTTTGTGAATGATATTCGGTTTGTCTTCTTTGGTTATTGCATCCTTTGATGTTCATAATAGTGTTTGGAGGGGATTTGTTGGTTTATGATCCACACGAGTTCCAAATGGTCTCAGTATTCTTTTTCTGATTTCTGATGTGTTCTTTGTGCACGGTAGAATGATGCGTTCATTGATTTTTTTTTTGAATGAATTTGTAGTTGATGATAGGCATCTTGTGATAAAGTTTCGTGAGTAGCTACTCTTCTTTAGAATGGATATCTAGTAGTTTTCTTCGTTTCTCCTTGAAGTTGTTGTACTGCAGTATGTTCTCATCTTTTAGAATAGAGTTTGTAGGCAATCAGTTTTGTGGGTTGTTGTGTTGTTGTTATTGTAGTTGAGGATTTAGTTAGTGTGTGGTGACTTCTTGTACACTTGAGTCTCTGATTTTCCGGCATTTGTCCTACTGACTCAAACATTCATAAATGGTAGTTGGTTGTTCACCTTGTTCTTTATCTTTGTTTTATAGACGTATCTATCCACGAATTTAGGGCAGACGGATACACTTCTAAGCATATGAAGAGATATGTGCGTTGTTACTTATTGAATGAATACTCAGTATTGTACAAAATCAAAGATTTTACCACAGTAATAACTATTTAAAAGATAGAATATGAGTAGTGTGTGTAGCAGTGTTAGAATTGATAACAATGGATTGATGAAAGAGATCAATCAGAAAGGAAGGTATGATATTTTGTCATGGATACTTCATAACCTGGCTTAGTTACATCGACACCACTGACTTCGTAAAGAGGTGAAGCGTTTTTAAGTACTACACAAGAATTTAAGTAGTGTTCCTGGTGAGTTTCAGTATCTTTCATTTCTAAAAGGCGGAAAATATTTCTGTTAGACTTTGACCTTACATTCCATTCAGTCATCATGGTGGAACTGTGGTATTGGTTACTGTCACCCTGTCCTATACTGTTGATTTGTTCCACTTCTTTGAAGAAAGAGGAAACTGTAGATTGGGTTCTTATTCATGATTCTATTGAACACCATGCTTCTAGAAGTTCTCTCACAGCTTTTGAATCTGTTCTTTGAAGGATTTATGCAAGTATTTCAGAGAAGAGTCTTCTTTCACCGATTTCTTTCTCAACCCTGTACCATCACAAATGTATATATTTTTCGTATATAAAGTACTTAATAGTTAAAAGCGGTTTGTCAAGCAAGACACTGACACTCCGCTTTAAAGAATTGTTACTTAGATGACCATTTAAAGTTTAGCTCATATTTAACGATATGATTTATAGACAGGAAGATGGAATAGCTAAGGGACCCCCATTAGGTCCACTGTCAGCATACTGTTGCTTTATAGTCACTTTGGAGAATAGACCCTTCATGTCAACGACTGAAAGTTTTCTAGTGTACAAAAAACAAGCGGACAGTACTTTTATCCTCTGCGATAATCAGTGTGATTCCAGTTTAGTCTGTTTATTATAAATATCACACAATGAAACAGTAGCATTTACTGGATAACGTTTCGGACATAATTTATTGTCCATATTCATATCAGGTAACTCTACAACTTCGAGACAGTCTCTATATATTCCTAGTTTTCTCTCCTCTGTGGTGACAAGGGTAGTAGAATTTTCCATATATCTGGGACAGGTGCAGCATCATTTCGATTGCATGTGTTTGGTGTTGATTCAGTAAACAAAGATTTGGTTATCAATCTCTCCCTCCACCCAACTAAGTTAGTTTTCAACACTGTCACCCTATCCCACCCTACTGTGTGATTGTGTGTCATCGCATGCACAGCTATAGCCGAGTTTTTCTCTACATTTCTTATCTTATTAGGATCTACTGATCTTGATTTAGCTAAGTGTTTGTGCTCTGTTATTCTAATCGACCCTGGATAGTCGACTGCTTTGACCTATGTACTTGACCTCGCAATCATTGCAAGGGACCTGGTAAGCCAGATCATTTTGCTTAACTGTATCGATAGGATCTTTTAACATACAAAGCTTGTTTCTATGTGAGTTTGTTGGTTTGGATGCCACTTTAATCCCAGCCTTATTGAGAATTCTTCGTAGTGCTTCTGAGGTGCATTCCTTGTATAGTAATACAGCAGAGGCTTTGAATTCTCTCTTAACCCTGTCACCATTATTAACACTAGTAGTGGGATTATTATTAATAACATCTGTATTGCTACTACTACCACTGCTAATATTTTCTTTCGATTTCTTATGAATTTATTTATAGATTTTGATGGGTAATTATTGAGACGTAGGGTATTCTTGATGTGTCTAATTTCTTGTCGCAGATTTTCCAATCTACTAGTAAGCTATTTCGCTCTATCACTTAAGCATTTAACTAGGCCTACTTTAACTGAAATGGGGTGGGAGGATTCGAAGTCTATGTAGCGATTCGAATGGGTAGGTTTCCTATAGACACTTGTCTCTAGATTTCCTTCTTGTGTTCGATTAATCTGCGACAAGAAGTTAGACACATCAAGAATACCCTATGTCCCAATTACCCACCTAAATTTATAAATAAATCCATAAGAAATCGAAAGAAAAATATTAGCAGTGGTGGCAGTAGTGGTAGTAGTAGTAGTAGTAGTAGTAGTAGTAGTAGTAGTAGTAGTAGTAGTAGTAGTAGTAGTAGTAGTAGTAGGGGTCAGGTATACAGGTTATTCCATGCGACTGTTATTCAAAAGGGTTTAGGAGCACTATCCATTGCTGTTACAAAGACGTAGCCATGAAGTGAGAAGAATTCCTATAACTGAGCACAACGTGAACGTGGATCACCCTATCTCAAGAACCATCTCGTTCAAAATCATTTTATTAAGTGAAAATAAATCTTCCATTCGAATTTTTCATCGTAACTATTTGGGTTTATTGAAGGAAAGGAAGCTTTAACATGTCGCTTTACTTCTAGTTAGTGTTTATGAATGTTTAATCAAGAAGGATACGACATAGTTTCAAATGCCACAAGACCAATTTTAAGAAGCCTAATACTTAAACAAGAATTTAATCAACAGATACATGGATACATATAAAATCTACAATCGACTTAAGTAGAAAATAGTCATCTCTGAAAGAGTTTCAAACTGACTCAACAAATCAATACTGAAACATAGGGTGATATTGCGAACAAATAAATAGCCTCAAAGGGATAGAGAAAAGCTGAGCATCAACATAATACAACGTCTGTATTTTATAGTCTTTTCATTGAACTACAGATAATAATCTATATCCAAAGTAATAGAGAATATTTGTGGCTCAGATGGATGATCTTGGTTGTATTGTGTTCTCTGAAATGGGTTGACATAACAATCGAAAGAAACAACCAATCACAGACCACGTCGCCACTAAATCACTCACGGAGAGATATTTACAGGTCACTTTATAGTGAAGTTAGTGGTGGTGATGTCTCCGTCTAGCAAGACGATGAAAGCTTCATGATTAAACAACCCAGCACAGAGAACACAATACAACTAAGATTGTATCCAAAGTGTTACATAACCGATAACACTATTTCAATGTCCAATCAAGCGAATAGTAATTCAAATGAATTAGAATAGTACTTTCATCAGAAAACTGTACCATATAGTTCTGGTAGTTTAAAAATCCTGGTTATGTCATAAGACAAAAGACATTTAACGAAGAATCACTCTGTCCAGTCAATATTAATATCTCTATGAGAAGAAGACTTATAAAGACCAAAGTAATCAATATTTAGTTACTAAGTTAAATGATACAATAAAGTGACTGGTGAATATAATGAAAAATTAGAATGAAACAAGATGGAAGGATGTAATGTGTCAGAAGATATGATATTTTTTTAGCACAGATTTCAAGCTTCATCTCCAAATGAATATCCTGAAGTTCTAATTAGAAACGATGACCTGTGAGGTTAACTATTGGCCGGGGGCGGGGGAGGTAGAGTAGATCCTAATTGAAGTTCCCGAATGATCATCACTCTGTAGAAGTTGGAAATCTTGAACCATTGCACTGTGACCTAGTGATTGAATAGTTAAGTCATTCACCATGAAACCTAAAATTCCTGAGTTCGATCGTTAACTAAGTCATGAGTATTTGCTGCTGACGAGTCCCATCATAGGATGAAACAACTGCTTAGAATTCTCAATTTTTTAATGCTTCGCCAACGGATATCAGTCCTTCATGAATACTACCTCAGGTGTACACCACTCACTAGGCTTCATGGAACTCTATAAATGATAATTAAGTTGTTCTTTTTTGGATTTACTGATAGTATACTTATCAATAATGGATGTATATTTGATTTAATTTGTCGAAATTCTATAGTTTACTGTTTTGCATATATCATTCTATGATTTTCAAATGAGAGAGTTATAGTTGTTGTTGTTGTTATTGCTTCGACGTTTGAAGTGTTGAATACTTGGTCCAAGTCTATGGGTTACAGATACATCTAACTGTTGTATCTTGAATAGAACAAAATGTATCTTGTATTCCACTAAATAGACTATAATTATTATTATTATTTTATTATTAGTCCCTTGGGTTCCTAGTGGAACATAGGGCTTCAGTAGCACGCCTCCAGTGATCTCTGTTCTCTGAGATCTTTTGAACCTGGTCCCACGACAGCCCAGAAGAAATAGACTATAATAGACAGTTATAAATTTCAAGTTGCTATTCATCGTAAACTGACATCAGTTCGAGGAACAAAGGAAACCTGAGAGCATTGGACAGCTGTTTTGGTCAGACTAGTATGGGACTTCTCAGCAGTGCGCACCCACGAACCCGCCACCTTCAGGTTCCATGCCCAGCGCATTATCGTCGAGTTAGCCACTGTGTCAAAATCCAATGCTCCATATTTCCAACTTCTATTACTGTTTACTTGGAAATTCAAAGATTTGCTTATTACTTAATTAATTATTTAAAATTTACTTAGGGTACTGTTGGATCCATTCCGTTGGAAGAAGTATCGAATATTGAATTGAGAAAATTAGGAAAAAGAGAAAATACTTCTTATTCAAATGCTATTTTATCGGTTGGATATATGACTAGTCAAGGTTGGACAAGTATACAACTTCAACTTCAATTGATTGCACACCCTCCAGCTGATATTGAAACAAAACCTCATCTTCATTTCCAACCAGTTTTAGATGACAATGAAATATCAGTTAACTACTTCCATTTATTTTGGTATTCAGGCAGGCAAACAGAATTCACTATCTTAATTTATAATCTGTAAGTTGAAATGAACACTTATGTCGAAAACACACTATGTATTATTTATCATAAACTTATATCATCTGGAAAGACCCTTGAAAACCTGAGAACTCTGGATAGCTGTTTCGTCTTGGCATGGGGCTCATCAGCAGGACACACCACCTATGATCACACTTTGGATAGGAATTTATTTTGCCAATTTGAGATATAGCGCTTATCCCATGATATATAGTAATTATCAGTCGAGGTCTTCAGTTGACATCTCCTTCCCTTCTGGCTGGTTGGCCTCACCGACTATGGTTTCTCTTTAAAACTTCACGATATCCATCTGGAAGCATGTTGATAATGAACACAATAAAGTAGTGCATTTTTAGGATGACAGTCACGATATATCGTGAATTGATAGAAGTTGGAAATTGTGAGCAACTGAAAACTGACCCAGTGTCTGAATGGTTAACGCGTTCGCCGTGAAACCTGAAGGTCCTGGGTTAGACCCCTAGCCGGGTCGTTGGTGCGTACTGCTGAAGAGTCCCATACTAGGACGAAACAGCTGTCCAGTGCTCCCAGATTTTTAGTGGTTCCCCAACTGACTTCAATCCATGATGAATACTACTTCTAAATAAATCATCATCGTTGGCAAAATTTAAATCTTCTAGGGTCGTTGTCTTTTCATCGATCAAACAGCGTATGCCCATCATCTCACAATTCGTTGCACTATCCAATCCGGTCCAGTCGACCTCAATCAAGATGATCATTGGTGGTAGTACGCCGCAGCCTTATCTTACTCCTATCTCCACTTCAAGTCCGTGAAGAATTCTACTTCTCAATTTTTTTACCGAATCCCTTGCAATGATTGCAAGGTCAAACACATAGGTCAAATTAGTCGACTAGGGTCAATTAGAGTAACAGAGCATTAACTAATTGGCTAATTTAACATTAGTAGATCCTAATGAGATAAGAAATTTAGAGAAAAAGTCGGTTGGCTATAGCTACGCACGCAGTTACACACAATCACACAATGGGGTGGGATAGAGAGATAGTTTTGGAAATAACTTAGTTGGGGTGGGTAGAGTTGAGGGAGAGATTAATAAACAAATCTTTGTTTATCGAATCAACATCAAATACATGCAGTCGGAATGATTATAAACCTGTTCCAGATATATGACAAATTCTATCGTTCTTGTGACAAAGAAGGATAGAAAATTAGAACTATATAAACTCTGTCTCAAAGTTTTGGAGTTACCTAATATGAATATGGATAATAAATTATGTTCGAAACTTTGCTATCTAGTAAATGGTACTGTTACACATTGTGTAACATTTTGAATAAACAGACTGAAGTGAAATTTCAAGTTGGTGCTGAATTCTATCGGTGGCAGGGTGGGGTGGTGTCATGCGTGTGCACCGTGGAGGTATCCTAAACTAAGATGAAATAGATAGTCATGCAATGCATTCGGGGTTTCCAATATTCCACCAATTGAAATCAACTCATGATGAATACCGACTTGGAAAATTAAATTCCCTCTAATACCCAAATTAAAACAAAGCTACAAACTACACGTAAATGTTAGTTGGTTGGAGGCAATCGGCAGGTAGCCGTGGATTTTGGCACTCATCAGCAATGCATATCTGCAATTTCGGCGTGCCTGATGTCCCACCTGAGACTCGAGCCCGCGTCAACCAGTATCACAGTCACTGACTTTACCACAACTATTCGGGACGCTACCGACATTCTGAAGGACTGGTTTACATGTATTGTACTAATGTGCACCGCGATGCTTAGGTTCCTAGCCTGGTTGCACATTGCAAATATGATTGATAGGATTCAGTTTGCACTCAGGACTAGACAACATGAAATTGGTTGCACTCCTGTAACCAGTCAATACAAACTACATGTGTTGATTGGATAAGCAAAACTTTAATTGAGGATGGGAGAATATGTACCTAAATGGCTTCGAAAACAAGTGAAGTGTAAACTAGGAGTAAACCCTGAAAGGAGATGACCCTCTTCATCTATAACAAAACATATCATGGAAACACGTCATAAAGTTATTGTTCAAACAGCCTTTAAAGTTTTATATAGAAGCAATCAGTCAGGTATGTATACTGAGATTTGCAGAAGCCATGGCCATACAGAGTGAAATCATCTTTATGTGTATGAAAAAACTTGTACTTACACAACACCTACCAATTGGTAAACTTTGTTTTCTTCTTCATCATCATCAATATCAACATAGGATTAGGCATCACTACGTAACGGTCCGAGTTACCACAGCTAATATCACCACATCAAGTAAAAAGGTAGTGAGGCACAAGATGAATATAAGAAAATTCAGTCAAGAGAAACATAGACTACTAGAAGAAAGAAAGGAAGAATGACAAAATGGTGAGATTCGGTAAAGCGTCGTTAACATGAGGATAATGTGTGTGTGTATACATCTGCACCACTGACATCGCTTCTCAGCCATATCCCCCAGAGTCTCCAGCCACTGGTTCCTCTTATCCCACCAACCCAAACCACCTAGTATGCATCACCCTACATGGCTCAAACAAACAGTCAGAGACTTCATACATCGGCGCCATGTTTCAGTCGTACCTTCGGGGCATAGTGGTCAACACTTTGGCATTTGCAGCGATGGGTACGAGGTTCGAGTTTCAATGGGAACAATGCCGCACACTGGGGTGCAGGTACACTCAGCTGACGAGTTCAAAATAGGGCGAAATGTGCACCCTGAATTCCACTGCTAACCACTATCCATAACTGCTTTAATAAAAGATGTTGGATATATGGAAAAGTTAGAAAAATGTTTTGAAATATTGTTAACAAGAGGAAAAAATGATTATCTACATCATCCTAGTATTCATCACAGACCGACATCAGCTGAAAAAACATAGAAAATCTGATAGCACAGAACAGGTGTTCCGTCCTATTATGAAGCTCCTCAATAGTTAGTACACATCTATGACCATACCACGAATCGAACTTAGTACCTTCATATCCCGCCATAAATGCGTTGCCATTGGACCAAGGCGTCGGATTCCTCTAGTCTAAAGTTTCCTGTTGATTGCATTCCCAAATGAATACTAACTAGGAATAAAATCACCTTAGACACCAAACTAATTTATTAATTTATAAGTAAAATTTTATTATTGCATATAACAGTTCACAAACTTATCATTGAAATATATATACTTAACTAGTAATTTGTTTAGGCAAGTTATTTGTGTAATACATAACATTCCACTCACTTCAATCTCTTTTGTAAACAGTTACCATACCGAAGTAAGTAATTTTGAGATGAAAACGCGGGAAAACTTGTTAGAGTTACATGAAACATCCTTATTGTAATGGTTGTTAAGTTTGCAATGTAGTCTACGATAAGGTTATATTATTTTTGCAATTGGAAAGAATTCTGTAATTTCATAGGCTTGGAGGTAAAACTAGAGTATTGTTGATGCCATCGATGAAGAGTCATCAGTAGAAAAGCATTAATGAATATATTTCATCGTTGGTTCTTTGAAAAGATAAGAAATTATCATCGCCATCTTCCTTCGAAGGAAAGCAAATGCAGCCATTATTACCAACAAATGAATATTTACGGCGACAAGTTAGTAGAGAAATACATTCTCCTTGTTAGTACCGTATATGCTACCGAATCCAATTGCGTCAAGAATATTTGCAATAAATGCAGTCGATCAAAGTGAAGAAAAAGCAAGAAACATTCCAGTTGGTTTTCTTCAACAATCCTACATGTTGCCTTGCTACATAAAGATTCCGCATGTAATAAAAACTTGGAAAAGTTTCCTGTATTTCGTAAGATTTAATGTAGTAGGATTGAGTGAGAAAATGGAATGTGAGAATATCATGTACATGAGTTCGTCTTCCAAGCATAGTCATGATATGCTGGAAAATGTGAAATGATGCCTACCTGGAACAGGAAAGAAACCGCCTCATCCATGAGCTGTTATCGAAAGAGGCATAGGACTGAACTCATGGCTACGTGTTCAAGACTACCTTATAGCCTCACAGTTCACAGAAACTTGGTTGCATTGTGTTATCTGAGCTGAGTCATCTATCATAAAGAAGAACGGCTACTCACGAAACTGTATCAAAAGATTCCTATACCCTACATCATCAACTACAAAGTCATCCATAGAAATCAATAAATGCATCATCCTACCATACATAAAGAACACGTCAGAAATCACGAAAAGATTACTGAAACCCTTGGAATTAGTGTGGCTCATAAATCAATAAATTCCCTCCAAACACTATTATGCACACCAAAGAACGCAGCAACCAGAGGAAGATAAAGCGAACATCATTCATAAAATCAACTTCAATAACTGCAGTCAACACTACATTGGACAAAGTGGCCACCCTCTTCACCTTTGTCTACATAAACACCGATTGGCTATTCGATGTCATATACGACATTTCATCACTCATTCTGATACACGTGGATAATAATGTGGACATGAATTCAATTTCGACAGTGTGGAAATGTTGAATGGTGAGAGGAAAGACAGAAAACATTACAGAATTCTTAGAAGCTTGGCAATCATATCAGTCAGCAATCTGTCAACCAATGAGGAAAATGATAAACGATAGGAAGGTGAAACAGAACAACAGTGAACAAGAAAATCCATGCAATCAATCAATGACGCAACAATCAAAAGAAACAACCAATCATAAACTAATCCCTGACTTCATAGTGAAGTTAGTGCTTTGGAGGATGTTGTCCAGCAAGACGATGAAAGTTCCAGGAATAAACAACCCATCTCAGTGAACAGGATACAACAAAGACCATCCACCTGAGCTGCAAATATTCTCCACCATTTCAGTTTACAGAAACCCTTACTAAGTAGTTAATAATAATAACAGTAACATACATATCTTACTTGACATTCTCCTCTGTTCGTTAGCTGGCCGTGTTTTGAACATCAAACCCACAACAAAAGCTTCGCACTTTGAAGTAAAAGAATATCAGCATGTTTTATTTTTCAATAGCCGACTT